TCCTCGCTGACCGCCTCCCTCTGCGCTCTCCCCGCAGGACCTGTCTATTCCCCCTCGGGCTATAAGAAGGCGGATGATGAGATGTCCGGAGCCACGTCCTCGGCGGATCTGGACGAGGCACCAGCCCGCACCATTTACTTGAACCAGCCCCAGCAGAGCAAGTTCCGCGACAACTGGGTCAGGTACGAGAAATCCCCGCACCCCCCGTTCGGGCGGCAGCCTGCACACCTCGCAGCCCTGGGCGGGGAGGGCTCCCGTCCCTGCACGGACCTGGTTTCAGCACAGTGAGCTGTATCTTGTTGGCTGCAGTGGGCACCAGATCTGGCTAAAGGTACAGAGGAGCGGGAGGGGGGGGTTCCAGCAGCATTAGCAAGGGGTAAACTGCACCTATCAAGAGTAAGAGCAGGGAACTGACAGAGCTGCATGGGTAAGATGCACGAAAAGGTCTTCTCTTCTGTAGAGCCATTGAATTCTGTAATACCGGGCCTCATCTGTTACTCCTGGGCACAAGGGCTAACCCATGAAAACTCAGTGTGAGATTTGGATCGAATCCACTTTGAGTGTTCTCTTTAAAAGTAGCATCCAGTCATAAGAATAAGTAGACTAAGTATAAAGAAGTAGAGAGTAGAAAGGAAGAAAAGGAAAAGTAAGTCTAAAAATAACTATGGAGTTTACAAACTCGCATCCTCATGCGTACAAGGCTTTGGTCCACTTGTGTTCTTTAATTGGAGACCAGAGGGAATTTTCTCTGCTATTTCATTGTAGGAGTGTGTTTTTAAGACTTCTGTTGGTGTGATTAATGCCATGTTATTGCAGATTGGAAGCATAAATGATGTGCACTGGAACATAGAGTATGAGGATGCATAACAAGTAAGTTGTGGCAGTGCTTGCCACACTTGCCTGGGGTTACCGAGGTGAACAGATGGCTCCCGTCATGACAAAGGAGGAGCATTATTTAGCAGGCTTCTGTCTGTTAATGCAGATGTTTGGGTTATTGTTCAGAATGGTTTACACAACGAGTGCCTTCTAATGAAAAGAGAGGAGTCATTTTTTTTTTAAATTATTTCCATTAGCTGGTTTACTGTGTGTATTATCAAGGGTGGTACTAAGAATATCCTCTGGAAGGATGCTGGTGTTCTGGGTAGTGCAGCTTACACATACAGGATTTTCTCCTCAACTTTGACTTATTATGTACTTATCTGGTAAAGTCTATGGTTTAGGAGCACTTAATGACAGATTTTTTTTTTTTTTTAATGTCTTGCTTTTCTATGTGGGCAGCAATGTTGGATGTTTTCTCACTTTATTTTTATTTTTCCTTGACTAATTATGAGCTGAGTTTGGCTGTTTTCTGTGGATAGACTACTTGTGCTTTTCCTGCTTTACAGAAAGAAAAGCAGGGAATAGAGTGTTGGTAGAATCAGAAGGTTGGGGTTTCCTGAAGGGACACTGTTCTGGCTTAATCTAATGAGAAAGTAGTGTGTGTGACTGTGCTACCAAGAACCTTCTTTCTGATAGCGTTATTACCAGCTCCTCAGAGCTGTTGTCCAGCTTGCTGTCTGGAAGCAATCCCCTGGTAGCTGTAAAAGTTTGTCAGTACTTTTTTAATCATGAGAAATATTGGTGTGTAAGGGATAGGACAAAATGCAGGTAGTGTAGTGGGAAAGTAGGGATATTTGCATTACCTGATTAGTGATCTTAGCTCCTTAGTGTCACTTGGAAATTAAGTTTGCTGTATAATAACTTGCTGCTGCTTAGTAAGAAAGCTGACTTTTAGAATGCTGTCAGGCTTTGGCTCTGCTTTCTCCATCCTCTGGGTTAGTTTTCTTCCTTCAGCTAAGGTGGGAATGAAGGCAAAGGCATTGAGCTCATAATATCTGAATAAGGGTGCTTTGTGTGGAGTACATGTGATGATTTACTTACTTGCTTGTATATATTGGAGTTCTTGAGGACCAGCAGTTCTGTATTGCCCTTGAACTTTGTTTCTTACTGTGTTTAGCTGCTGGATTTTTCAGTACCATTGGTTTTGAAGATGTCTTGTCTCCATAGGAAATGTGTACCACAGCAAGCAGTGCTGTGTAAGTGAATAAACACCTGTATATAGGGGCTTGGAGAATATGAAAAGTTTGTTGTAAATCATGTGACTTCTGTCACCTCTTGCATAGTAATCAAGGATTCTCTGAACAGAGGTAGTGTGGAATAGCTTGCTCTAAACTAAGCAACATACAGCAAGGTGCAGAGGGTGGGGGAAGGTGAGTCAGTGTATGGCCTTTTGTTTAAGATGTTTGATTAAGATCTTGAGCTTTTAAACTTTTTAACTGAGAGGCACTGTTAAAAGTTTGTGGAGCAAAAGGAAACTGATTTTGGACAAGTTAAGCAAAATTGATAATTCCCCAATATCACTTCTAAATAGTAAATAATACTGTTGCAAAAGCAAAGTAGGTGACAAGGTGGCACTGACACTTCCACAAGCCTTGAAGTGTGAGGGTATAGAAGGAAGAACTGTTTCCTTTTTCCCCAGGCTTTCTGGTATAAATAAATGAAGTTATTAGAACTTGTGGAGCAATGGCTGATTTCTTTTGTGCTCTTCAAACTTTGTCACAAACTATGTCAAAACCTAGTGCTTTTGGATTTGGCTTGGTGCTTGGTGTGTATATGACTGTCACCGTTCTTTATTACAGTGCAGCACCAGTGATTCCTTCTGTAGGAACATCTCTCTTCTACCTGCATTAGAAGCTGTTTTCATCCCTACTATATTCAGTTTGTGTATGTGGAAGTCTTCGGACCTTGTCTTCAAGATAAATGGTTTTCCATTTTCGGCTGAAGTATTTTCTGATGCGTTTTAGAAGCTTTGAAATATGTATAAAAATTAAACAAATACTTTGTCCAAATTACTTTGTCCAACACAGCTGTAGCTGTGGTATTAAGGATGTTTGCTTTTATGAAAGCCAGCTGGCACCTGTTATGACTTGTTCAATGTGATCACCCTTTTGGTGAAGAAATTTTTCTTTAATATCCAATCTAAACGTCCCCTGGCACAGCTTGGGGCCATTGCCTCTTGTGTTATGACTTGATACTTGGGAAAAGAGACCAGCCACCTCCTCGCTCCATCATCCTTTCAGGTACTTGTAGAGGGTGATGAGGTCCCCCCAAGCCTTCTCTTCTCCAGACTAAACACCCCTCAGGTCCCTCAGCTGTTCCTTATCAGACTTGTGCTCCAGACCCTTCACCAGCTTTGCTCTTCTTTGGACCTGCTCCAGCACCTCAAGGTCTCTCTTGTAGTGAAGGGCTCAGAACTGAACACAGGATTCGAGGTGCGGCATCACCAGTGCCAGTACAGGGGGATGATCACTGCTCTGACCCTGCTGGCCACTAGTTCTGATACAGGCCAGGATGCTGTTGGCTTCTTGGCTGCCTGGGCACAAGCTGCTTATGTTCAGCTCTGTCAGTCAGCACCCTCAGGTCCTTTTCTGCCAAGCGGTTTTCCAGCCACTTTTCCCCAAGGCTGTAGCATTGCACGGGGTTGTTGTGGCCCAAATGCAGGACCTGGCACTTTGCCTTGTTAAACCTCATACAGCTGGCTACGGCCCATCAATCCAGCCTGTCCAGATCACTCTGTAGAGCCTTTCTATCCTCCAGCAGATCAACACTCCTGTCCAGCTTGGTGTCACTGCAAATTCATCATTATGATGTTTGTCTTCTGGAGCAGCCACTGTCTACTGAAGCCCTACTTCCAGGGAAGTGGCTGGACATTGCCTGCTGATGGGAAGTAGAGAATAAATCTTCTGTTTTCCTTTGCTTCTGCATATGGCTTTTGCTTTCGTGTTATTAACTGTCTTTCTCTTGATCCGTGAGACTTCTTTCCACTATATTCTCAGCCCCCAGCCCTGCTGAGGAAGGATGTGATAATGTGACTTGGTGGGCACCTGGTGTCCAGCTCAGGTCAACTCACCACCAACTTACCTGTCATCTTGTAACAACACAAGGATACAGATGGGGAATGATGATAGGGGGTTTGAATGCTCTGTCAATATTTGAGATGACCATGAATACTTTTCCAAATATATACTCAGTGAAGACTTCATTTTGCTTAAAGTGAGAATATTCTGCAGATCTGGCTTTCACATAAATACAGTTGCTTGATATTTCTTATTAATACAGGAATGTACTCTGACATCAGTGGCTTATGCTGTGTGTTGAACAGTAGTGTATTGAAACTTCCTTCCTGTACGTTTATTAAAAATCACTACTGAAGTGATCTGAGTCCCATGTGCTAATGTTGATGCGAAAGTAGTTGGAACATGTAGTTTCTTGATCTAGGAAGCACAAAAGTGCTGAAAAAACTTTAAGTACTCTTGCAACTGTATCCAAATTATCTAAGTAAATTGCAGTTGCTGTTGTAACTGTTGCTCTATGTAATATTCTTGTATTCAAGGCCTGATAGTGCATCCTGGTGCAACTCTGACTTAGATCTGAATCAGGAAGTTCAGTCTTGATATGTGGTTTGAGTGGGAGGTCAGGGCAGAGCAGCAGTCACGAATAGCAGAATTCTACTTGTACACTTTTAGTGTGTTTTGAGTTAGAAGTCATGTTGAAAAGTTTCCAGTAAGAACAAAATTTGGTGGCTTGATCTGTTATGGAGGTCCCAAAACATGTGTTCCAGTATCTAGAAAATCTCCAGTTCAGAGGCTTGTTTTTCATACAGGCAAAAGTTAAATTCTGCTAGAAAAGATAATGAGCAAAAAGCCTTAGTGTTCACTTTTACACTGTACAGGCTCTTCAAACTCAAGCAAACTGGTGAGAACAAATTTCTTCTTTCATAAGGCAGAAGCACCACTACTAGGAATTTAGCATTGAAGACTGCAACAAGGTTTCTAGTAGCACCACGAGTCCTTTGTTTAACAGGCTGTTGTTTTATCTGTAGTCCCAGACTGTCCCATCAGTGTCTGCAGGGTGCTTGCTGGTGACAAAACTGTGGGCACAGTCTGAATTCTTGTTTAGTTTCAGCTGTATGTTGTATTAGATGAAGCTTTCTTGGCTTGCAAATAGGTACTGCAGAAGCCACTTGTGATTTAGAAGTGTTAATGCTTTTTTGAATGTGTGTAAATTCTCACTGGTGCTTAATGAGTCCCTGCTGCTGAAATAGGAGTTGCTGGTATCACTATCCAATTAGTACTGACCCTTG